TGAGATCATAAATGGGTGCTATATCTTGTCAAAGGCTTTTTCTGTATCTATTGATATGATCATATGATTCTTATTTTTTAATCTGTTTATGTGGTATATCGCATTAATTTTTTGCATACGTTGAACCATCCCTGCCTCTGGGAAATATTGGCTGAGGGCTTGTCATATATGGCTTTTATGATATTAAGGTATTTTCCTTCCATAACGATGTCGTTAAGTGTTTTGATCATAAATGGGTGCTATATCTTGTCAAAGGCTTTTTCTGTATCTATTGATATGATCATATGATTCTTATTTTTTAATCTGTTTATGTGGTATATCGCATTAATTTTTTGCATACGTTGAACCATCCCTGTGCCTCTGGGATAAAGCCCACTTGATCGTGGTGTATAATCTTTTTAATATGTTGCTGAATTCGGTTTGCTAGTAGAGAGATCATATTTTTGATTCAGTCTGGTTCCATCTCGCTGTTCAAACCAGAAACAAGGAGTTATAAATTACTCTGTTCCTGACTCTTCACATGCATTTTGTGACCAATGGCTGTCAAATCTTGTCCTCTTCCTAACCTCGTCACTCTCCTACTCTCCTACTTATTTAAACTACTTTTACTTCATCCTTCTCTAATTGTCTCTTGTCTAGAGTAGTTATAATGTTCATTCTGAAACACATCTGATCATGTCACTACCCTAACAAAATGCTCTTTTGGGCCAGGGACTCCTGCTTGATAGTCCTCAGCTCTGTTTCCTGACATTGCCCCCTCCAGCACCCCGCAATGTTTGAACACTGCCAACAGTTAAATTGATGTTTCCACATTTAGAAAACATATTTAAAATTGATATTTCCACATTTAGAAAACTGATACATTAAAAATTGGAAGATGTGGCATCATTCCAAATAACTGCAGCAAACTGGCAGGTATTCTTTTAGGACAAGATTTTGTTACCTGCCAAAGGGCTGCAGTCAGAATTCTTTGGTATGGCATTTGTCATCTCCATATTATTTTTCCTTTTCAGCAGCTCCAGCTTCTCCCATACTGGATTATTGAATACATCACTGCCAATACTATGCCTCTCTGTCTAATCCTTGCCTCCATTCCCAGCCCTCACTCCTATTTGTTTTTTTTTTCTTCCAACTTTAGCTTTATTCTCTATTTGGAGCCATATCTCATCTACCCAGGTGTCTTTGATTTATTTTGCTGAGGCATGTCCTAAAGCACTATTCATGTGCTCTTCATATCTGGCCATTAATTTCTGCATTTCTTATATCTATTAACAAGTGTGTGCTATCTTCCTTTTTTTTTTTTTTTAATTATCAGTGCTTGCCATAGTACCTGACATACAATAGGGTTCAGTGAATGTTGGGTGAATAATTGGCTGACTTAATTATCTTTAGGCAATAAGACCCCAAATGGATTGTGAGGTGCTTAGGGCAATTAAGATCACAACTAGTCCAAATATACTCTTTGTTACTTGTGAATCTCTAGGTTTATGCTAGTTCCTCTAACTGGGTCTCTGAAGTGAACGTTGAGCATTCCTAAGGTTGTGCTAACAGTCTAAATGAAATTCATTTAATTCTTTGACTTCAGCCACAAATGTATGACCTGTGATTTCTGAATCTTGCTTTCGCACTTCAAATCTGAGAACGTTTCTCTCTGCTTCCTCTGTTTTCCTTTCTTTCCTCTCATATATATATTAACACTTACTCATCAATCTCTTGTCTGTCTGTTTGCCTAGAGAAATTAAATTTGTCTAGAGCCCTTACCTCTGGAACTCAAACCTGTATTCAATTTTAAGTTCAAGTGAGCCTTTTTGGCCTCATGTGCTTTTTTGACTCTGTTCATGGCCTTGGCTCACAGAGATATCAACTCTCTTGTTTTGTGTGACAGTGATATTTGAGGAAGTTATGTTGACAAGCATCAGGTGACCCATGGGGTGGAGAATTTGCCTTTTCTTCTTAAACTCTGAAATCTTCAGAAAGGCTTTATTCCATGTAATGAGCCTAGAGGATATGGGTTCTGGTTCTGACTCTGACACCGGTTTGATGTTTTTAGGTCTGTTTGGGTAAAAGAGTTACATTATGATACATGTAAATATACCTGTCTTTCTCTTGAATTTAAAACAGGTTTGAGAAAAAAGACTTCTAGAAACTATGACTCTTTCTTTTACCAGTGGTGATTATAATGAGCTTCCTAGGGCTGTTGTAACAAGTTGCCATAAACTTGGTGGCTTAAAACAATAGAAATGTATCCTCTCACAGTTCTGAGGTCTAGAAATTCTAAATCGAGGCATCAACAGGGCCACGTTCTCTTCAAGATTCCAGAAAAGAATCTTTCCTCGCCAATTCCCAGCTCCTGGTGGCTCCTGGCAATCCTTGGCATGCTTGGCTGGTGGCTGCTTCACTCCGATCTCTGCCTCCACAGCTACACAGCCTTCTTCCCTGTATCTCAGTGTCTCTGTGTTCTTTTCTCCTCTCATATGGATACTGGCCATCAGATTTAGGCCCAACCCTAAATTCAGGATAATTTCATCTCAATATCCTTAACTATTTATGTATGCAAAGACTCTATTTCCAAGTAAGGTCATGTTCTGAGGTTTCAAGTGGAAATGAATTTTAGGGAGGACACTGTTCAACCCACTAGAATGATTATCTACCTTTAAATATCACAGCCTTATAACTTTTTAAATTTTAAAATTTAAATTTACCATTTTTAAGAATAGATATGTTCATTCTTTTTTAAAGATTTCTGTGGTTGGAGATCTTCCCAATAGGCTCATTCTGCCCCATGTTTTTCTTATGTAAAATGATCATGTGGAAATTAAATGTGAATGTTAACTATTTCAATAAGCTTAATCTACTCCTTCCCTGAGATACAGAGACATCTAGCTTTTTCTTTATTCCATTTACTTCCCTCACTCCCTTCCTTTCGGGCATTGGTACTGGTAGTTGGTAGTTGAAAGGAATTCGTTTCCATCACCACCACCCCGCCCCCAATATTACTACAGGGGAAGATTTTCTAGGTCCTGAGTAAGGAAATGTATAAGGGCTTAAACTATGAAAAAATTTTAGATCCTTTACATGGTCTAAACATTTTGGGGGAAATCCATTACCTTCAAAGCATGAAACTATAATAGTTCTTAAGATTTGATTTTATTCTGTCTATGATGTTCTTAGTAAGAGTAATTACTTTAAAAAGTAAGAGTAATTACTTTTTCGGCAATGGGAATGAATGGATAATGCACTGCGGTAAGGAAACACACATTCCTGGGAAATATGGTACAATTCTCATTGTAACTTCACATAGCAGTATAGTACTAATCTAATTATAACAACAGGATCTAGTTTTCTCCTAAAATCACAGAACTTTTAAATATGTTTTCTTGTAGGTAGTTTTTGTAAATACCAAATACTACATTGCTTAATTTCTTATTCTTGGCTCAGACCATTTTATTGTACCACAAAATGTGCCATAACACTTCACATTGTGACAATCAAGATGACAACACCATCTCACTTGTACAGATTATAAAAGACCAAAATCTGTATATTACTTTTATTAAGCTAGGCCAGAATCAATCCTTTTAGTGAAAGATATAATGTCATAAAATGTTTTATTAACTTTAAACACGAGAGTTCATAACTTTGAGATATGATGAAGTACTGTTTCAAATAGCACTTAAATATGTCCCTCAGTAGGAGACTATGGTTGATTCAACAGTTTTAAGCAAACTTCTGACTTGTCACCCCTAGTAGAAGATAATTTTGCCTTTTCTTCTGCCTGCTTCCCCACTTCAAAAAGGAAAAAAGAGAAAATCTCACAATTCTCTTTTTGGCAGACCACTATAAAATGGCTTTTCAAGAATGACAAACAAGAATGAGAAGTTTAACTTGGAATTTATTTTCATTTAACAGGCTTTTGCTAACGCATTGCTTGGGTACAGCATTCTGCGCAACTGGGAAGGCAAAAAGAAAAATAGCTGCACACATCTCTCTGCAGGCTCAGTAATAATAATTCGGAAAAAGGAGACAAATGTCGGCTATTATAAGATTTGTATCATACATAGGAGGAAATAATTTTATTAATTCAAACACAGGAGTCCTCCATCTTTAAAAATCGAATGAAACTTCCTGCACTTAAAGTTGATAACTTGGTAAAGCTTACAATCTCTGATACAGAAATGTAGTATAACAATAAATTCTTTCTTTCTTTTTCAGTTAAAAGTGAAGTAACATGCAAAACTTTCCTGAAACATGAAGCAGAAAGAATAATATTTAAAAGTAACATGGTCGTTATATCTCTTTATCCATCAAACTGTCTTCATTCCACTATTCTTTCTTCAATATTATCCAAGATTGCATCAAATATTGGATAAACCAAAGAGCGTAAGAAGAAAGAAGTGATTTTCATAGTCATTACCCTTTGCAATGAAAGTGCTAAGGTTCAATCATATCTTCTTTAGGAGCTTTGTTAGGTTCAATGGAGCATCCCAGCTTGTGTTGACCTTCCTTCTGATTCCAGGTTGCTTGACGTCAGATTTCATAGCACCCCCTTTTCTCTCAAATTATTCTTTCCTCTGGATTTGGAATGCCCCAACTGAATCTTGTGCTACGAAGTTTAAAGTCCAGGTAGATCTGAGCCTCTTCTCTTTGATAGGAACCCCCCAAAAAGATACCATAGGACAACCCATTACATTATTTTATGTTGATAGACTTGGCTTATATCCTTATATAGAGAAGAATGGCACTGATGTGAATGGAGGACTCCCCCAGGTGGTTAACTTACAAGAACATTTGAACAAGGCTAAGAATGACATTCCTTATTACATACCAAAGGACGACGTGGGCTTGGCTGTCATAGATTGGGAAGAATGGAGGCCTCTCTGGGCAAGAAACTGGAAACCTAAAGATATTTACAGGAATAAATCTATTCAGTTGGTTCAGCAACAAAATTCACAACTTTCTGTCGCAGAAGCCACCAATTTAGCCAAACAAAATTTTGAAACAGCAGGAAAAACTATGATGTTAGAGACCTTAAAATTGGGAAAATCACTTCGGCCAAAACGCTTATGGGGTTATTATCTTTTTCCTGACTGTTACAATCATCATTATACTAAACCTAATTACAACGGGAGTTGCTTTTTCATAGAAAAGAAAAGAAATGATGAGCTCGGCTGGTTGTGGAGTCAAAGCACTGCGCTCTTCCCATCCATTTATTTGAATTCCTACCTAAGGTCTTCTCCATTAAGTCCACTCTTTGTCCGTAACCGTGTTCAGGAAGCCATTCGGGTTTCCAAAGCATCCAATGCTAAAAGTCCACTTCCGGTTTTTATATATACTCGTCCAGTTTTTACTGACAAATCTTCGCAATACCTTGGTCAGGTAAGTATATCAAGGTATGAAGGCTATGAAATAGTGCTCACAAATTGTGTTTTGTGGAGGTCAATATTATTTCGAAGGGAGTGAAATTTAGCTTTTAATATTCTCTAGAAATATGCACATAGGTAATTCAGCATCATTATCTGAAGGTAAAATAGGAATATATTTTATTTTAATGTAATCATATTATATCGTAGCAACCATAGAAAATTAGATAGTACAGACGATGTATTAACTCAGTTTCTTTCTTTTTTTTTTCTTTCATGGGCCTACTCTCCTGCCAATAGCAGTAATTAAAATAATAATAGAAATACCTGTATTTTTGTTATAATAAGGCAGTGGCAGTGTGAAAGATATAGTGGAGAAATATTTAAATTATTGTTGGGTTAGCATTCTTAGCTTTGGTGTTACCGTACTATGTATAACACTTTAATTATATTCCTATCTGTTAACTCTTTCTGTCACATTTGCCAGGATGATCTTGTGAATACACTTGGTGAAACTGTTGCTCTAGGTGTCTCTGGAATTATAATGTGGGGAAGCCTCAATTTAAGTCAAAATTTGGTAAGTTGCATTGAGAGGACATAGATGAAACCATTTCTACTTTTAATGTTTTTGAGGATTGTTGTGATATTAAATAATAAACGAAGTACAATGCTTAGCAAACAGTAATAGGTGCTCAGTTAATACTAGCTGAATCAAACTATCTTTCATTTATGTGGTTATATCCTCAGGCAGAAAATATTGTACTTGTTTTCTGGTGAGGAAACAAAAATTCAGGGAGATTAATTAAAATTCTCTAGGCTATTTGACTTGTTGGAAATATAGCAGTGAACAAAGCAAGATCCTTTCATCGTGGACCTACATTCTTATAAGTGGAAACACAACATATACAGATATGTCAGATAGCGAGAGGAATGGCTGAGGGAGTGGGTGAGTAGGATGGGTAAGAGAAGTGGTTAAAATGACTCCAAGGCTTTTGGCTTGAAAGAGTCGCCTCTGAGATGGCAAAGACTTCAACAGGAGTGCTTTGGTGAGGGCTGGGCAGGGAAGAACGGGATGGGGGAGTGAGTGGGAGGGGTGATTAGGAGTTACTTTCTGAAAATATTACTAAATTGTTCAAAGCTTCTCTGCAGGAGAGGAAAAGGAGTCCTTCTTTATTTCCCACAGGTTATATTTAGTAGTGTCTATTTTAAGTAAAATTCATTTTATGAGGAAAAAAAATGTTTGTTTTTGTCTGTAGAGTATGAATTTTATTCATTTTTCTCCTATTTTCTTTAGTTCAAAAGCCTTTAACTATCCTGACCTAATCGTTTGCTCTCTTCTTTTTCTTCCTTCTTTAATTCTCCACGTCAGGTCTTTGTCTTCTACGTCTTCAATCCTCTTGACTCAGTGCAGCAGTAAAACTGTCACATGGACACTGCTGAATTAAAACTGAACTTGTTCTCTGACATTTGTGGAAATACCAGTGATGTAGGTGCCACAAAGAATGCTCATGGCCCAGGGGTCTTATCCTAGGGACCCATAGAGAAGAGACTGTACGCTAAAACCAGATGAGAACTTTTGATCTCTTGTCCTTCAGGTAGACCAGCCATATTTTTACTTCCTTTATAAAAAATACTTAATAGCAGTCACCTTCGTGAATTTTTTTCACAGTAATCTGAGCCCTTCTACCTATTTGGTAGAGTTCTATTGTCTCTGGTTTGATCATCAATAAAGAAAAATAACAAAATATAAGTTCAGAGAAAAGTTTATATGTCTCTTTAGCAAAATCTTTCATATGTCAGGAAATTATAATTAAAATTCCAAATCGTAATTTAAAATTATAATTCACCTAAGTAGATTCCTAATTTTCATTAGTCGTTTTTCCAGATCTATAAACTTCTTTCTCAAGGGTCTTATGATGGGTTATGATGGAATCATTTATTTTCTCGCACTACTTCCTTTTTTTTTTTTTTAAGAACTGAGAACTCCATCCTACTTTGATGAAAAATGAATCCAGCATTCCCCAATTAATAGGATGATATAACACACTATTTAATTGTCATACTTTTCTTTTTTTACATGCACTTTAATCTTAGACTCTCATTCTTCTATCATGGCTTGCAGATTGTTTTCAGTTATTCATACAGAGACAATCCTTCGACTTTAACATGACTATTTTCTGTTTAATGACACTGCCTTGGAATTGTTCCCTGTGGACTCTGTTATGTATATTTATACTACCTTTCCTAATTTATCATCATTCAGAATGCTAGTTCTATCATTACTTCCCCCTTTTTTCTGTTATTTGTCATCAACAGTCATGAATTCATTGACAACCTGAGAAACTGGTAATTGTAAATTTACTTGCAATGACTGGAGTTGACTTAAAATGATTGTTATCAAACAAATGCAAGGCAACCATTTCTTTCTATTCTATTTTAATAGCTTCAGTGCTATGTCAGAGCCAGCTCTTATTGGTTCCAGCTCATGAGACCTGCTTATTAAATATTCAGAAATTTTGTATACTGGTTTTTCAACACAGCCATTATTAAAAATTAAATTATAAAAACTTAGAATAAAATAAATTGTGTTAAAAACAAAGGAATAAATACTCAAAGCATATGTGATTTACTTAATTTATTGGAGTTCTTTCCATCTTGTATCTGCATTAGTGGAAGATTATGTAGTGGTATGCTATTCCACGCTATTCCACACTATACAGTGTGATGATGGGGTACTTGAGTCTCAATTTTGCATTCAATGATGTCAGGTTGGTAGGTTAAAGTTTGCCACAGTAAGAGGATTTACACCATGGGCATTAACAAATGCCGTAAACCAGGCCTTATCTTTTAGAAATCTAGTTTTAAATCTTTCCAAAGACTACATTTTGTGTAGGCTACAGATTTTCAAACCATTCTCATCCTTTAACTCCTCTTTTTGTCTAGCTCTTGTCTCTATAGACAACTGAAATGTCATCTGAACTTGGTATAAATTCTCATATATTCTTGGCACCTGGGATACAGTGTTGAAGTATATTGAAAAATTCCTGCACTCATGGAGCTTATGTTAAATAAGGGATAGAAACGATACACATGCAAGAAAAAAATTTAATGTGATAAGTACTATGCGGAGAATTAAAATAGAGAGATATGAGAAAGTAGACAGGAAAGGTATCTGAGAAAAGCAATGTCTGATTAAAGTTGCTATCTGAATGATAAGATGAACCATATTAGAAATTAGAAGAAAGAGTATTTCAAGTGGAGGAAACAGTAAGTGTACTGTGACATGAATCTGTCATCCTCGTGAAACACCTAGTATGTCTAAGGCAGAGTGGGTGAGGAAGGGCCATTCACAAGAAAGGAAGAGTTGTAATACATCAGGCTGTAAACAAGTCGAGAGAAGTTGAACTTTATTCTAAACACCATGCAATGCTATTGGAAGATTAAGAGGAGATTTTCTATGGCTGCCGTAAAAATTACAACAAGCTTAGTGGTAAACAACAGAAATTTATTATCTTACAGTTCTGTAGATCATAAATCCAACACTGGTTGCCTTTTTCTCTAGGGGAGGGTCCTCACTTGCTCATTTAGGTTGTAGGCAAAATTCATTTCCTCCTTGTTGCCTTGAGATCTCTATTTTTTGGCTGGCTGTGGCTAAAGGACATTTCCAGCTTCTAGAGGTCATACTTTGCCGAATAAGCATATTTGTAAAAGAACTATTATAATTTACCTGTACCTAAACTATACATAACATTTAATAAAAAGAACACTCAGTTGAACTTGTTTAGTTGTTTGAGCTAACAATTTAGAAACTACTCTTTGTAATGTTTAAACTCGTCTGATGAATGTGATACTTATTACGTTTATTTATAATTTATAACTAATGATAGGCTGGGCCCTGTGCTAAACATTTTTATATTCCTCGTATCTCTTTATCTTCACAACAATCATATGAGGTAGGTGCTATAATTACCCTTATTTTACAGATAATGAAGCTGAAGCACAGCCAGGTCAATTAATTCACCCATGGTCACCCAGATAAGAAACCAAGACTTCAAAAACTTGAGAGATTCTCAAGTTTGCATAGCTAGTTGTTAATAGAGCTGGGACTCCAATCAGGGCAGATGGACCCCCAGAGCCCATGCTCTAACTGCTGTACCATTCTGCTCTCTGCCCCCATTAGTTTATGAGTATTGAGAAAGACCAAGGCTAAGTAAGGTATGTTAGGCTTCGATTGGTCAATTAATTATTCGGTGGCATGTGAAACTTATAAATGTTACAAAAAAACAGAATAATCTTGCTTGTTAAGGTAAAAAAGATAAAATATTACCTACTTCTTTCTGGGTCTGTTTTTTGTGCGTGTGTGTTTCCTTAGAAATTCTCTGTCATGGTGAAATTCACTCACATATGAGCTAACTTGAATCTTGATATACTGACCTTATTATTTTACAGGAGTCCTGCAACAAACTACAAAATTACGTAAAGACTACACTTAATCCTTACATAATCAATATCACCCTAGCAGCCAAAATGTGTAGCCAAGTGTTTTGCCAAGAGCAAGGATTGTGTGTAAGGAAAAATTGGAATTCGCTTGACTATCTTCACCTTAACGCAATGAGTTTGGCTATTGAAACTGAGCAAAATGGAAAATTCAAAATAAAAGGGAAACCCACACTTGAAGACTTGAAGGAATTTTCTGAAAAATTTCATTGCAGATGTTATGTCAACACCAGCTGTGCGAAGGAAGTTAATTTAAAAGGCACTCATACTATTAATGTATGTGCTTTTGAAGGTGTTTGTATTAATGCCACTTTAAAGTCAGAAAATGAAATATTCCATTCAAGTACAAGTTTAGTTCTCTTTTTTTTATTATTTTTAATTTTTTTTGAAAACGAATGCTCTGGCATACAAACAAGACTTTGATGGTATCAGAGAAGAATTTCAAGGGTTTCATCAAAAAGGCGTTTCTGTGGCTTTGAAGTTTAGTAATTAGGTAATGCTGAGACACAAGACAAGAACTTCAGAAGACTGGAACATTGAGTATGGTTTTAGAGTGGTATACAGTAGATGATGGCCAAATGATGGCTTTAAAATAAAGACACTCTCAAATCTCTTGATTGCTGCCCTATTTTTTTCCATGCACACATATAGCAACATGATTTTTTACTCCCCATCACCTCCCTATAACGTAAACACCACGAGGACAGGTATTTGGTGTGATTGACTTGCTGCTATATCTGCAGTGTGATGAATAGTATCCAGGACTTAGTAGGTGCCCAGTAAGTGTTGAACAAACAAAAACCAATGGGGAGCCACTAAAGAATTTTAAGTGTGTGAGTTGTCATGAGCTCTTTTACAATCTGGTTCCTCTTGGACCAATGCTGCCCTAATCCTTAGCTCTGTCCTTCATGCTCCACTCCAATTATTATTCTACTGTCAAAGCCATGTTCTCATATGTAAGGCGTGAAAAGAGACAATATGATAATGGTCTGTAAAGAATATTTTATATGGACTAGTTTACTCAGAATGCATTAATGGCTGTCAGGAGAACAAATGGAAGCAGCAAAGTGAATTGGAAAGGGCGTAGATTTTGGAGTTGGACAGTTATAAGGGCAAATTCCAGCTTCCAAAATTTACTAATGGGGTTCAGAAGAGCCATCCCAAGATATGTTTCTGTGGTATGTGAATATTTTGAGCTAAAGGCAATTTTAGCTTCAGGCTCAAGAGATACTTTTGCTCCTCCCTTGACTACTTAGAAAAACTTGAATCAGGGGCCTTAATCCTTCCAAGGCATCTTACCTCAACCTTAGTTCGGGATGTCTTATATACCTACGTTCCCTTTCCATCTCTGAACCTCTCCTGCATGTGGGGTCTCTGACTCTCTCATATATGTGGGGTTCTCATATATATGTATGTATTAAATTTGGTTATTTTCTCTTGTTAATCTATCTCATGTTTATTTGATTATTTGACCAGCCAGAAGAGCCTTGAGGGTAGAGGAAAATTTGTTCCTCCCCACAACTAGCTATTGGAGCCTGAGTTAGTTAACCTGGCTCAGCTTCTAGTCTAATAGAATGGCAATAATATATTCCTTTTAGGGTCCTTAAGAGGATTAAATAGTATACATGGAAAGCATTTGGCCTTAGCAATAACTCAATAAGAGTCTGTGGGAGAAAGGACTAACTTTATCTGTTTCACTTGCAAAACTGCCAGGATTGTATCAACACAATCATTCTGCACAAGATACTGACATGTTGTTGACACTGAAATTTGACGTGGAGTGGTTAAGAATTTGAATATAAAAACCCATTGATAAAATCCATCAATAAAATTGAGAACCTGGATGTTTCTCTTTTCTCCTCTGTTTGCAAAGAGAGAGGGAAGGAAGGAGGGCTGGGGAGTGGGTGGGAGAGAAAAAACAAGGAGACAAGAAATAAGGGAAAAGAACTGAATTTGTTGCTTTCTCTGATTCCACTGAGGCTTCTAATTTGCACAGAATTGAGAAGAACATCTGACGCAGACACAATTAGCCTTTAACTCCCTGCAAAAGCCAAGAGTAGTTATACTTGAATGCCCTACCTTGTGTTAAACTGAAAAACATTAACTGAGTCTTTTGTAAAAGAAAGGGCTTATTAGGCCATTGCTGGCAAAAAAAAAAATAAAAATAAAAATAAAAAGGAGTCTGCATGGAGTCTAAACCACCAGCAGCATGGCTAGGTGGAAGAGACAGCATATCTGTTTGTCCTGGAGTTTTGCAAGCATTTTTTATAAATCAGGTAGAGGGGGAGAAAGGTGTAAACCATTCTGAAAGAATTTACATTAGCCGTAAACAAAGGGGATGGGAAAAGGTGAAGCAGGGCCTATTCTGGGATACTAGCTACAAGAAAGAAGTGTCTACTCCTATAAATTGGTTGTGGGTGACAGATTGGAAAGTTCATGTGCAAATAGGAAGTGGAGGGTCCTGGGGTTGGAAATTAATCCTAAATTCCAACCAGATATACAGAAATGTGAGCAGCCTTTTCTCAGAGCTGGTCCGCAGCTGCCAACAGGCTAACTGACTCTTTCTCCCTCTGGCCACTATAGTTTTAATTTAGAACATCTCAGAACTTTTTCTTATCACGAGGCTGACCTGGCACAAGTCAGCCCACTCCTCCTTTCCCCCTTGCCTCATACTTCCTTTTAGAACCCAAACTATGAAGCCACAGAGTGGTGGTGCTGTTTGGAATATGCCCAAACCACATTCTGCTATGCACTCTCAAGTTCTGGTACAGGTAGAGTCACTAAGATCTTAAAACTAAAATTTCTGAGGCATTAAATTTGCTGTGAAGATAATGTGCTATCTGTTACAGACTATATCCCTTTGTGTCTAAACTTTATTCTTATGAAGTCCTTGCTACTCATGGTAAAATAATACAGTTATACAGTGGAAAACTAAGTCTTCTTCTTTCTTCTCTCTTCTAGTGATAACCCTTAGCTATGGTTTCTTGTATATAATTCCAGAAATGTCCTAGGAGTATGAAAGCAAATATCTCTATGTGTGTGTGTTGTCAAAAGATAAGGCACATTAAAAACTTTAAGAGTTTATTTGAACAAAAATTGAATAAAACTGGGTAGCGCCAAGCCAGAAGTGATTAGAAGCGCTCTGCCAACAGCAGCCGAGCTTAGGCAGAGGGAGTGTGGAAGGAAAGAAAATTATTTGACTAGCTGTAGCTTAAAGCCTTCTTGCTCATTTGTGATTGGTTGTCCTTGGCATTTGGATTTTGTAACTTCGAGGCTTAGATTTTGGTTTGCTTATACAGGTTGCCACAGCAATAGAGCCACGTCAGTCTAACGGCTTTCTTATTTAATTCAACAGTATATTTAACACAAATAGGATATGGTGTCCATAAGTGTCTATAACATGCCCTTCCCACATGACAATATATTTGAGACTTCTGTCCGTATCAATATATTGTGTAGTGACCACGTCATACTCCTCTATACCACTATATGACAGTTTTTAAAAAAATAGTTAATTTATTTTTTATGGTGACATTGGTTAATGAAATCCAATAAGTTTCAGTTGTACACTTTAACAGTAAGGCATACATATATTTACACTGTGTGTTCACCTCTCATAGTTAGATTTCTTTCTGTCACCACATATTTGAAGCCCCTTTACCAAGTCTACCTTACCCCTCTCCCCACCCTCTGGTAACCACTAGTCTATAGTCCATGTCCATGAGTCTCTGTTTGTTTGTCCTGTTCATTTGTTGCTTTTAGGCTTATATCCCACATATAAGTGATATCATGTGATTTTCAACTTTTTCTGTTTGACAGTTTTTTAAAGGAAGTTTTTATTAATGGACATTTCATTTTCTGGAGTTTTTTCCTCCTCTAGCAATAATGTTAGGGTTAGCACTTGTATACATATATATCTTGGCACACTTTTGCCAGGATGAAATAGAATTGCTAATGCAAAGGGTATATATATTTTAATTCAAAAGATAAACACTGCAAAATTATCTTCTGAAAAGTATGTTCCAATTAAGGATCTCGCCAATAGTGAATGAGAAAGACAGTTTCTTTGTCAATACTGTGCATTACCAAATTCTGTAATTATTATTCATCTATAGGTGTAAGGGGCATCTCATTTTAAGAACTTGGTCCTTAAATAATCAAGTTGACCGTTTTTTTCATAGTGTGTTAAGGGTATTCTTTTTTTCCTTGCCAAGGCTTTTTCTTTTTAAGAGTAAACCTTGTTTTGTTTCTCATTTATACCCAAATTCTATTTTGAGATGACTGTTGTCATTTCTGAAAATTAAGATATACCTTTACAGATATCAACAGATGGTACCATGAAACAGGAATCCAAAGACCAAGTTTAAAAAGAACATTTTATTTCTTCTGCCTTCATATTTCTTATGTAGCATTCAACTTTGATTATCACCATTTTATTTTTAAAGTACATCAGTCACTTGAAGCTACGAATTCATCTATCCACGGTATCTCATTTGTTTTCATGTAGCTATAGAGCCTCATAAAGTTTTGGCAAACAACTCTTTTATAAGAAGTGAATTTTAAATACAATTCCAGTAGTTGTTCATGAGAAGCCTAATCCTTGGTAGGGATATAGGG